GATAAGCGCTATACTATATCTTGCATTCGACAGTCTCTCTCATCTCTACAAGTAGATCGAAGGGTAGTATCCAGGAACAAGCTTTCTAGTATAGAAGAGTTAGAACTAAGGCTGAATTGCTATCCAATTGATCGTCCTTTTGATTCCGATTTATGATGAGAATAATTAGATATTCTGACGCAGAATGTTGGTAACTGACTGCAGGTCAAAAACGGGACTTATAATAGGACTAGTATTAGGACCGGACGTGGGTCCTATTATACCTCGCTGGCTGTTGTTCCCTGCAAAAACAAGGACAGCCATTGGACCCCATAAAAGTTCAGAAGAAAATAGGACGATTTCCGAAAAAAATGAGCATCGATTCCCTCCATAAAGTCCTCGTACCTACGTAACAATATTAGGTAACTTGATATAAGCTCTTCAATTCGATTTTTTTTTAGGACGTCATTTTGACCTTGTTATCTCCAGGTATTCACGGTTCGCTTGACGTGGGTTTGTCGTAAGGAGTCTGAATCTAGAAGCAGATTAACAACGCGTCGATGGAAACTAAAAATGTGCTAAAAAGCTCTCGACAGGCTCGCGTCTGCGAATATCTAATCAGAGGCAAATATTTACTCCCGGTAAGTTTTATTCCCACGTTTATTTACAGAGTGTAGTAGAGGTAAAACATGGATAGCTTTATAGGTATTTAATTTAGCGGTTATTATGATAAAGGAGTATAAGGGTGGTATCATCATGGCGTAATTTTAGGTAGAGTCTGACTATTTACCTACTGAAAGTGGCACTAGAAATTATCGGTAACTTAAAAAAAATGTATAAGTATGTCAACTATCTGGTATGATTTAGTAGTGGTATAAACTAAAGGATCTTCATCATCCATCCGATGGCGAAGTTAAAATTCCTCCTAACTAACATTCCTGAAAAAATCGATTTTCTTAATACAATAGGCTTATAATTTCGTGAAGAATTTTTCCATTCGAAATCTTTCTTCAAACTGATATTTTTCTAACCTGTGTGAGTGTGTGGAAATAGCTGCTATATGCGAAAGTAATATTTACGTATATTTTTCTATCTCCTGAAAACCAAAAAGATAAAAATGCAGTTAGGAGGTAGGTACTTATTGTCACTTCNTTTAGGAATGAGGGTATCATCATGACGTCATCTTAGGTAGAGTCTGACTATTTACCTACTGAAAGTGGCACTAGAAAATGATCGGTAACTTAAAAAAATTGTATAAGTATGTCAACTATCTGGTATGATTTAGTAGTTAATTGTATAAACTAAAGGATCTTCATCATCCATCCGCGAAGTAAAATACCTACCTCCTAACTAACATTCCTGAAAAAATCGATTTTCTTAATACAATAGGCTTAAAATTTTATTTCGCGTGGACTTTTTCCATTCGAAATCTTTCTTCAAACTGATATTGCTAACCTGTGTGAGTGTGTGGAAATAGCTGCTATATGCGCAAGTAATTATTTTTCTATCTCCTGAAAACCAAAAAGATAAATGCAGTTAGGAGGTAGTGTCACTTCACCGTCGCATCATGCATTTATGAAATTCATCCTTCTACTTATGTCACCCACTCTACGTCATTGTATGTTTCACAGCAAAACCCAAGTTAGCGAACTAGGTCAGATCATTTAATAAGAACTTGCAAACAACATGTTAGGTTGCCAATTGTCTAATTGTTAGGTGTACGTGATAATTTTGTCATTACTACTTATGCCAGCATCTTTGTTTAACTGGCCGCACATCAGCCTATACAATTTTGTTGTAAATTCGACTCTATTATCACTTCATCGACTCTAATATCACTCAATAAGATCCTACAGTGTAAAGATTGACGTGCTCTACTTGCAATCAGAGGCCGCCATATGGGGATTGAAACTTTAACCTTTGTGATAATATAAACAGTAACTTTACATCCAAGGCGAGATTGATAAATACTGGATAACAGAGCATTCACTTTACAACCTAGTTTAAAGCGCGATTTGACAAATCTACTATTTTTGATTGGAAATCCCAAAAAAAAGAAATCATGGTGATTGACTTAAATTAATTAGGCAGCTACTTACCTACTTATCACCTGAATAGCCATAGGATTTATAGAGATCTTTTTCACACATTAAGAAGGAGATACTTAAGTAAGTGTAGATGCAGTCTAACGCCCGTATTCACAAACTTTACTATGAGGTCTCACAGTGCGCGTGGATGCACAGGGTGACACACGAACCAATCACAGAGCTCTATTGAACAGCGTGCGTTCGATTTGCTGGCAAGCATTGTTTGTGAATACGGGCGTAAGAACTTGCCTAGACAACGAACAACAGGCGCATACGTAAACAAAACTAGCTGGTAGATAAAACATTAATAAAGGAAGTGTGCAAGGATGTAATAAGTAAATACTGAATTGGTAATAGATGAATGTAAGGGGACATAGAAAGTAAATTGAAAATTTAATTCCATTCGCCGGCCATAACACATTTGACTTTAAAATGTGAAGAAAGATACAAATCTGTGGTCATTGTATGCTAATGACGTAATAATTTCAGAATTCGAAATAGGAACGGAGAATAATTGAATGCACATCGTAAATCTGACCGTTATTGCTCGGTTTGCGGGTAGGTCACAGTATTAATACTCTATCATGTGCTACATTGATAACCTAACTTTAATTATGAACCTCGTTTACGGTCTACTTGGATTTTAAAACTAATTCAAAGTAGGTAGTCCTAAGTCCTATTTCAATCTTTGAGAAAAAACAAGTCCCGATGGCGTAGTGTCACCGACGCTGAATTGCTTTGAATCGCGGGTCACACGTTTGATTCCTAGTCAGGTTAATTTATGTAAATTGTTTTTGTGGCTTGTGGCTATGCTCTGATCAATAATAAAAATCTTATTTGCTGATAATATTATCTGTAAACTAATTAAACACTTAGTTAATTTAACTTTTAGCACAAGTGTTCGCCTTGCCATTAGGTCTGGCTGACGCGATAACCTGTAAACTCTACTGTCGAAAATACTGTGCGAAATATTAAGCATTTCGTGAATATAACAAATGATAAAGCATATTCATGTACATAATTAATTAAGACTTATTAAAGTACATAGACAAAACTAAAAAGAGCGGCAAATTGAATACTTAATTTGCCGCTCTTTTTAGTTTTGTCTATATGAACTTTTTATGAACTTTTAAGTAGTCGTAGTACGTATGTACTAAAGTTCATAAAAAGCTTTGAGCATCGCACGGAAGTAGTTTTCAAGGTTTTTTTTGTCAAAATAACGGTCTTTTTATAGGGGAATTATCTCGAATGAGTGCTCCAAAATTTGGGACAAAAAAAGTTGATGACAGGTGGGCAACACGCTGCCTAGCACGTGCTATGGAACCTTCTGTTTTTGCTTGTTTTTGCGTACAATTAGAACTGTTTGCTTGACTCTACCTTGTAGGATACTATATAGTTTCTGTATTATTGCTTTTTTTGTGTGACTCTACATAGAATTTTGCAGATATTATTAGGAATTAATGACGTAGTTAATCTTAGTATGTATTCTTAAAGTTTTTCTTCAAATTGCTTTGTTTATATTTTAAATACTAGGCAAAGTTTTTTTGAGAAAAGTTTGAAAGACTAATGTATTCTGAAAGACTGTAATTTTTTTTGGGGTCTGTGACTATATTTACAGCGTGATTGTAGAGTTCTAAAATTATCTAAAATATTGGGTGTTCGTTGAGGTAATGGTTGAGGTACAAATGAGTGCATGGTTTTATCAATACAGGGTGTTTTGAATGATTAAAAAAGGTCAATATCATAAAACATTCAAATATTTAGTCGAGATAGATCATTATTTGTGTAATTAAACCATTGCGTCTTTAGTTTATTTAACTCTATAATTGACTATTTACTTTTCTAAGATGATAGCTTCTGTTTTCTAATTTTAATAGCGTTAATGATGTCGGTGTTTGCCGTTCTAATTATTGCAGGATCAGTTATCGCCGGTTTATGTAATGTGGAGGGTATTGTCTGCCAACACAAAGCTATTTGTTACCTTATCTATTATTAGAAACTACATACATTTCCTATGCATTTCTTGGAGCATATAAAATAAATGTAGGTCTATCTTCGAATGTAAAATAGGGGAAAGTTTGAAAATACGGTATATTAATAATGGTAGAGTAAAAATCTGTATTTGTATCTCCTTTAATAAATTAATAGTACCTAAGTGATAGAAATCTATCGAACGCTACATTCATCTTATGAGAAATTCCTATTATTGATACTACACCCTGTATGATTCTTTCACATAAATAAAATTGTAAGTTCATGTACCTAAGTTACATATTAATAAGACGTTTGTAGCAGTGTTTTAAAGTTTTTTCTGTAGGACCCGCGTCTTGGGCCGGGTTGCTCATGCGGCGTGACGGACTGACGACCTTGGGGTCGAATGAACTTACGATCTCCCCTTTCTTTGACTGATTCCATTCAAACTTTAAAGGTTTATTTAAGTTTCTATTCTATAGTTCCTTAGCGACAGATGATAATCTTGAAGTTGTAACAATAATATAAATGTTATGCTAATTTACCTAATAAAATTTAGTTTTAGTTACGTTAAATTTATTACTATGTACTCATAACAGAATAATTATAACTACAGACTACATAACAGAATATTTACTCATTAAAATATATTTTTTTTAGCTTTGGAAGGAAAATGCAAACGTTCCATTTTTATCTTAATAAGTATTATTAAGTTATTAGTAGGTACCTAATCATTAAGAAACAAGTTGTCTTGCATCTAGCAGTAATGTAATCATTTCTATCCGCTAACAAAACAAAATACTACTTAAATTCTAATTAATAGTTGTCACTAAACAATAAACAACACATTCTACCCTCAAAACATTTATTATGAGAAAGTTATTACTAATCTTAGCAAAGTTATTGGTTTTATTCCATCCGATTATTATAACGAACAATTAAAAATATTAATAAAAAACTCACCAGTGTAATAAAAACTTTTTTCTAACCACAGTGTAAGCACGTCACGAAAGTTGAACACAGATTAATAATTTTTAACCCACACGCACACTCCGTACGGGGTCGCTCGCGCAACTGGCTGTTTTCATGTTTTGTTTGACTCAATGTTGTTAGTACGCAAGTTACTGGTGTAGAAATTCCCGAGTCAAATAAATGGGAATGGAAGGAAGATCGGTTACTAATAATATAGTAGTGGCAGTAACTTGTCTTGATTAGAAATTTGGTAATTAGTGTATTAGGGTACTTCTCNATGGTCAAATATTTAGATAATTATGTGTTACGACTGCATTTTGCCTAATGACAAAAACGGAAATATAAATTACTTTCTACTACATAAACTGTGTTTATTTATTTAGGTATAGTTAAATTTTGATGTTACAACGATAAAGTGGTTACGATTTTTAAGCAATTTTGAAACTTGGGACTTAGAACTTTGGCATACTACCGTTACGAGAATGACGACGTAAATTGTTGTGTTTACGCTACGTACTCGTATTGTAAGTTTTGCTACGTGTAAATTTCGTTCTATCGTTATCAAATCTACTTAATGAAAATATTCAGTAACAATCCGAGGCGCCAATGGTCGCAATGCCAAGGGTGCGTGCCATACAGAGCAGATGTACGGCCTATTGTTCCTATTAAAACTTTTATTTTTCCCAAACTAAGCAAATTGAACCTTACCACCAGAACATAGGAGCCACAACAACAGCAACGTCACGTGGTAGGATCACCACCTTTTAATGCTACGCTATGGAATGAGTTCCGATGCATTTGGGGTTCGATTGTGTGTACAAGAATTAATTCGTGTCACCTGGCCAAATAAATCCGTAATACTTGCTGTATTACGGTAATAATAGCACAATTAGGTTTCCATTTTGATGGATTGCGCGTGGGCTAATTTTTAAAGTATAATGCTCTAATGATCGCGGTGGACACTGGAATTTATGACATAATAACGTGTAATAACTACTGCCGACTTGCTTCGGCAATAAACTTCTTAACCTATTCTGCTCCTATTACTGAAGTTAGTATCGAAGTTTATTTATAATACGCTTTTATTCTGCATAGCACGAAAATCTACTGAACTTTACAAATAAAATATTTATAGCAGGCTTGAATCTTTCAGCTTCATTTCAAATTCAAAATACCCAGAAGTTATTTCCAAAAGTCTGCCTGATTTAGCCTTTTCCCCATAAATATTAAAGAGTAGAAAAAAATGTGGCAAAGCTTAAAATGTCTGGAAAAAAGTTAAATTGATACAACTAGTTAATATAACAGTCTATCAAAATCAAACAACCTGTATAATTATTTTTACTTTTCTAAACGAATAGAATCATGATCCTTTGCGTAAAAAGAAAAAAAAACAAATGTCAATAACAGCTGCCTGGGTGTCTGTCAGTTCTGTCACATTTCTGTCACAAATGTCAAAAAAAAATTAAAGCATTGTTTCCAGCAAAATGCCCGAGGCTTTTTCTGAATTTATAGACGATATTGAGGACCTAATATCCTCCCAAGACATCACTCCGAAGGAGCGATATGCTAGCCGAAAGAATGTGAGCGTTCGGTCCAGGAAAAGGGACGCGAAAAGCGAATCGGAACCAGTTGAAAAGGTTATACTGGAGAGTGTTGTCCCAGGTAACCTAAAATATTCTACCTACAATAATCTCTGTAGTAACTTATTGATATACTAATAGTTAATTGGTTTGTTATCACCGAAGTATGCTGGTTGTGATGTTTGAGAGGAAAAATGGGGGTAACATTTTGTGTGAAGTTAAGTACATTGTTTACACTGTGATAAAAAAATAGGTAAAATCTTAAATTAATAATGCTTCTTTGTAATTTATAGACATTGTAACAGAAATAGATGATTATTTAGTATGTAATTAAAATAAAAACAGTCAAATAAATACTCAAGAACAATCAAAACACATTTAAAATAGCTTAGTTTTTTATTTCTTTTCATTGGACTCTAATTAACTCTAGCGCTTGTTACTCTGTATTAAACTGTACTACAGTTAGTAGATTTCTCTATTTGCATAAAATTACCTGACACTTCTCCCAGAGAAAATACAAATGAGTAACACTGACAAAATTTAGCATTGAGTTGCCCCGAATTTTGGTCACTGTGTGTGTGCGCGCCGCATACGTATTGGCGCGCGCTCACATACAAACCGCGCTCGGGCGTTTCTATGAAGATGACCTACTCATTTGTATTTACTCTGCTTCTCCCTATCTTAAATTAATAAAATATTCTCCTTACTTATTGTTGCGGACAGCCGCTCGGGCGGCGGAAATAAGAAAAACCTTCGGATTAAAATGAAGATATATTTCTGCAAATATTGCCCACAACGGCTATCAAAAAACATCAACTTCAATACTAAAACAAAAGGTATCAAAAGTAATAAAAAGAGTATAAAAAACATAGATAATATAAAAAAGAGGTTGGTCCACCTATCGGTTCCCAACACCTATTTCAAATCTGATAATAACTGATCATAGTACCCAAAAGTTAACTTTATTTACTGATGCTTCATTCCAGGAACCCAAACAATCTACGTTAAAACATGGGGGTGCGCTCACAACAACTCCGACTCAGAGTACATGGCCGGCTTGCTGGCGGCGCACGGCTACAAACTGACGGAAGACAAGTGGCAAGCGCAGCTGTGGCTGCTCAACTCTTGTACCGTCAAGAGCCCTTCTGAAGACCATTTCAAGTAAGTTAAGTCTAATAAATATGAAGATTTTATACTATGAAACATAAAAAGACATACAACCAATAGGCTAGTTTCCTAAAAAGTTTTTTTTAGTTCGTCAATTTTAATATAAAAAATATTGGACACGTATATTTTGAATTGTCAATCAAACAAATAATTACAAAGTTATAGGGCGTTGAAGTTACGCGCGACGTCACAAAGTGCTGCACTTTTATGCACTTACTGACGTCACGGGCCTTTACTTTAGAACTTAGACATGCTTTATCTCTTTACATTTTTATTAGTTTTAAAAAGTGAAAAATACGTGTTGAGTAGTTTTTGATAAGCTTACTGATGGACTAATTAAATCTCTTGCTTTTTTACCCAGGAAACTGACTGGGAGTCCTTTAGGGAATATATAAGTGATAATGTTAATCTGCGCATACCTCTAAAAACGGTAGAAGACATAGATGACGCTGCGTGGTATGCCACTAACCTAATACAAAAGGCGGCATGGCTATCAACTCCACACATGGCATCTAAACCACAAAACCATGACACTACGCTGGAAATACGACAGATGATTGCTGAAAAGAGAAAACTGCGACGTCAGTGGCACACCAGCAGGAATCGTCAAGATAAGAAAGCCCTTAATAGAATACAAAAGGAACTGAAGGAAATGCTAAGAGAAAATGAGAACAATACCCTCCAAGACAAACTTAAGACTCTATCACCGTACAAAGCAGAGGATTATACACTTTGGAAAATGACCAACTCACTGAAAAGGCCAAAAGAACACATTCCTCCACTGAGACAAGCTAACGGCAACTGGTCACGAAAGCCTCAAGATAAAACTGAGTTATTTGCTAATTTCCTAAAAAATGTATTCAAACCCAACGAACCTGATAATACACAATCAGAGCAGGATATTGACGAAGTTTTAAACAGTGACCAACAGCTGTCGCAAAAAAAAAAAAAAAAAAAAAAAAACCCAGGAAACATCCCTATTGAGAACCTTCTCCATTTGTTGAAGTCGATTAATCAATATGGTGCTCTAACACTTCTAAAAAACATCTTCAAAGACAAATCAATGTTTAGGTGCCCAAAGAAAGCTGCTAAATTAAACTACTTCTAACTGGCTAATCTGGAAATAAATCATTATGATGTGCCTGCAGTGGAGACTAAATGATCTGATGATCATATTTTTTTGGTCTATTTCAATTCAACTTACAGGGCAGATATGTACCATCCTAGACTGCATCTCACTTAACACCAGGTGCGATTGCGGTCAAATACCTGCCTTGTCTAGCATAAAAAAAAAAAAATTGATCACCTGGCTTTGATGACCCATGTGATCAAAGTGGACTCCAAGCAACAATTTGGTGTCCTTTGATCACCCTTGGATAAGATGACCTGGTTGATCAAAGTGGATTCCAGTTAAATTATTATTTTAGTTTCCTTTGATCTATAATACCTCTTTGTGATTTGATACATAATACCTCTGAATAGTCACATTATGTCCAATTTGTTTGTTGCGTTTTATTACCATTATGGAGAAACTTGTCTTGCACCTTACCTAATAGAACGGACCTGTTCCCCACAGGCTGAAGATTCAAGAGAGCTACCGATGATAACGGTACATTGTAATTGTTTAGGAATGAAGTGGAATTAGGCCAAAGCCGTGGAGTGCACGTGGTAGTGGCTGGTTGCGTGCCGCAGGGGGCGCCGCGCTCCAGTTACTTAGCCCGTCTCAGCGTGGTGGGCGTGCACCAGATTGATAGGATTGTGGAGATCGTCGAGGAGACACTGAAAGGTGAGTCACTAAGTTCATTGCTTAAATTAAACTACAAGAACAGGTGCCAGGTTGCCAATATTGCAGCTTTGATACAGTGCATTCTACTGAGAACACACTTCCATCACGCCTTGGTCAAGTGAGGCTGCTCAGGGAAGGATGCCAGCAAGAAATGCAGGTGAATGTTAGACAACTATAGCAGCCATTATACTTGGTCAGTATCAAGACTCGTGGCAGGTGGTGTCATAATAAAACAGCGCATATCACGTTTTCTTTCGCACTCACACTGGATATGGATGATGTCACACAGAGACAGGAGTAGTTTATACATAATCTATCTATCTATCTATGTCAGCCTTTGGGTTCGCCTTCGAACATAGGCCTCCTCTTCAACCCTCCACCGTTTTCTGTCCCTGGCCACACGCATCCAGTTCACTCCAGCCTGCTGCCGGATATCATCTGTCCATCGTTTAGGCGGTCTTCCCCTGCCGCGGGTGTTGTTGCGGGGTCTCCACTCCAGGGTCTTTCTGGCCCAGCGATCCTGGTTCATCCGTGCAATGTGTCCTGCCCATCTCCATTTACGGCTCTCTATCTCTTCCACCACGTCGCTGATCCTCGTCTTTTCTCTGATCCACTCGTTCGTTTTGTGATCTTGTAGGGAGACGCCAAGCATCTGTCTTTCCATTGCTCGTTGTGCGACTCGGAGTCTCTCAGCAGACTTTTCTGTCAGCGTCGTGGTCTCCATCCCATACACGAAGACCGGCAGTACACACTGGTTGAACACCTTGGTCTTTAGGTGTTGAGCAATTTTCTTGGAGCGTAGAACATGGCTGTTTACCCCGAATGCCGCCCAAGCTTGTCCGATGCGCCTTCCTACTTCCGCAACCTGATTCTCAGAATTCAGAGTGATTTTGTGGCCTAGATAGATGTAGTGGTCGACCAATTCTACAGGTAGGACGTGATTTTTCGCATTTTCAATGTTCGTCATGATTTTCGTTTTTGACAAATTCATTTTTAACCCTACTTTTGNAGTACTATGAGAGTCTGTACAAAAGTAAGACATCAAACATCGCCTCACCATTAGATGGACAGTCATATAGAGCGCCTATATCCAATGTTGGCTCCGAAGAAATTCCAGACGTTACAGTGGAGGAAATACGTTTTGCTCTTGGCCAGATCAAGAACAGAAGGTCACCGGGACATGACAATGTTATTCCTGAAATGCTGAAGCTGGCACCTGAAACAGCCTGGAAAGCATTGGCACTGCTTTTCACAAATTGTATACTAGGTAGCAAGGTCCCGAACGACTGGCATAAAGCAATTATTGTCCTTCTTCACAAAAAGGGAGATATCCGGAAACTAGACAACTACCGTTTATACATAATACGTAATAATTAATAAAATATTGGCGAGTATACATCGCTGTTTCAAAAACATGCATACAGCCGAACATAGAACCTCCTCCTTTTTTTGAAGTCGGTTAAAAATTACTTATGGCCCCGCCTGCCACGAATCTTAGCGTCGAGTATAATAGTGGTGTCCCGCGTTCCTGACCTATTAAACTAGTAGAACTAAGCCAGCAGCAGGGTTACTACGAAAACGTTATCCGAAGTTTCGAATGTTGCCATCCCTCTCACGCAAAGCGAGATGCCAGCATGAGCACCAGTGACAGATAGGTAGCCCTGCAGAGGTACCTGGCTCGCCTGAGCGTGGTGGGCGAGCACCAGATCGATAGGATTGTGGAGATCGTTGAGGAGACGCTGAAGGGTGAGATTTTAGACTTTCGCGTTCCATTTCGACTTAAATAAAAAGACATTAGCATGCAGCATGCAGCATAGCAGCCGAAACGTCAAGCCGTGAGTACATAATGTAACTAATTAATAAATGTCGCTTTAAGACCCGTGTCTTTCTATTTAAGTCGCTAAAAGATGAGGTGATAATATGTGGGTTCTTTGTTAAGTGTACATTATGGTACTAGGACTACGCGGCGCGTCACAGGTTAGGTCGAGAACAGGCCACCAAGCCCTTTGTTGCTGCCTTGATACTGTTAGTTATGCTAAGAACACACAAAAGTCTTGCTTAGGTGCTGCCCATTCAATGCGGTTTGCAGTTACTCAGATACCAAATAAGGAATGCGGACCAATGCTTGACTAAAGCCTGGTCCGTGAGCACGTAGAATTTTGTCCAATGACCCCAAGCTACCCATCCTTACCGCTCGCGCGTAATTATGTTGCTGTCGCGCTCGCACACTCACTGCGGGCGCCTGTCGCACAGTCGCGATAGCAATATAATTACGCGCGAGCGATAAGGATGGGTAGCTTGGGGTCATTGGACAAGGCTTTACATGGCATTGATAAATGATGTCCTGCGTTCTTAACTCATATAAAAACGAAGCCACGCCAGCGCGGTTACTCCGAAAAACGTTATCCGAAGTTTCGAATGTTGCCATCCCTCTCACACAAAGCGAGATGCCAGCATGAGCACCAGTGACAGATAGGTAGCCCTGCAGAGGTACCTGGCTCGCCTGAGCGTGGTGGGCGTGCACCAGATTTATAGGATTGTGGAAATCTTCGAGGAGACGCTGAAGGGTGAGTATCTATCATCTGGGTTCATCGGGAATAAAAGTGATCTTTAGCACCAAATTGCTATGTAGGAGTATGAAATTACTTTGTGGTTGAGGATTCCGGGTGAAGCTCGCTTCCACCTTCGGCCTGATCATCACTTACCATCAGGTGAGATACAGGCCAAGAGCTTGCTCGTTGTGGATAAAAAAAAATGTGCTGTCCCTGGGACTGTACTGGATAAGTATAGCCTAAGGACAAAAATGAAAACATTTAAGGAGGCCCCTTTCAATAGTCTATGTCTATAAACACATTGTAAAGTGAAATAAATAAAGATTTTGTACATTACACCGGTCGACAAAAAAAAAATTTTTTTTTGCGCATGGATTTTACTTATTATATTCTGATTATATAAGCAAATTTATATAAAAAAGTGCAATTACAAATCGAAAATATTTGCTTTTTAAGAAGTTATAGCGATTTGAATTTTCCATCTTCATAGTAGAATGTCTCTAAAGATGCACGTCCCATTCTCATCTAAATATATAAAAGGAGGAGTTGGGATATATTTATAGATAACTAGCGGCCGCCCGCGACTTCGTACGCGTGAATCCCGTTTTTCCCGCTAATTCCCGTTCCCGTGGGAATTTCGGGAATTCCTTTCTTAGTGCACCTCTACGGTACCTAAGCTACGTCCCTTCCAAATTTCAAGTGCCTACGTTTAGCCGTTTAGGCTGTGCGTTGATCTGTCAGTCAGTCAGTCAGTTTCTCCTTTTATATATTTAGATTATGGGGGCTTATTCGCAAGAACAAGGGGCACGCTTTCATCAAAATATAGTGGGATTTGAGAAACGGCGTTACCAAGGCCAGTATACTGAAAGCATGATAGGGTTAGATTTTTATGAGAAAAATCTTCTATGGAACATGACAGGAAATTAAAACTTTTCATTTTTAATAAATATTTGGACTCTATTTTGAATTTTCTCTTGTGAGAATGAATCTTAAATGGATGTTTGGTATGTTTTAATAAATAGAAAGAATGAAAGAAAGAAAGAAAAAAATATATTTGGCAACAAATTAAATCATCTCTATGTTCATGTTTCATACATTCATTGATATGAATTTTTCTATTTTTTACACATAAAAGCAAATTCAGAACATTTTTATGTTGTTATTATTATTTCTAGGTTACAAAGCAATAAAAATAAGCTAAGCATCACCCGTGCGCAAAAATGCTGTAGACAGTTGTTATCAATGGACAAAATTGTAAAATGAATTTTCCCACACTAATTTATCACTCAGAGCTGTGTTGCTATTATAATTCGTACATAATTTCTTTTAGCAGATAAAATATACAAGTGATTCCAGATAATTATTCTTCAAAATGTAATTTGAAAATTGATCACAATTCCCTATCAGTATATTATTATGCTAAGATGTAATAAATTAAGTACAGTTAAACCAACAATTCTATTGTTACAGGCCACACAGTCCGCCTCTTCGGCCAGAGAAAAACAGAGGAAGGTCGCAAAGCGGGCGGCGCCTCGCTCCTCCTACCAAAAGTCCGCAAGAACCCTCTCATAGAGATCATCCCGATCAACACGGGCTGTCTCAACCAATGCACCTACTGCAAGACCAAGCACGCGAGAGGAGAACTCGGGAGCTACCCTCCTGAAGAGATTGTGGAGAGGGCGCGACAGTCTTTTAAAGAGGGAGTTGTGGAGATATGGCTGACTAGCGAGGATACAGGTACTTAAGGCCGCACGTTTCGCTTATTTGTCAAAGAAACGGAGGGGCGCAAAACTAGCAGCGTCTCTCTGTTATAGGTGGCCCAATGAGAGTTGAGGCCATCAATACGAGCAAAGATTTGCGTCTCGCCTCAACTTTCATTGAGCGAGCTATACCCAAAGTCCATAAGAACCCGCTAGAGGTCATCCCCATCAATACAGGCGGTCTCAACCAGCGGTGTTACTCCGAAAAACGTTATCCGTAGTTTCGAATGTTGCCATCCCTCTCACGCAAAGCGAGAGGCCAGCATAAGCGACCGTGACAGGTAAGGTTCGATGGGTTACCCCGATCAACACGGGCTGCCTCAACCAGTGCACCTACTGCAAGACTAAACACGCGAGGGGGGAGCTTGGGAGATACCCTCCAGAGGAGATTGTAGAGAGGGCGCGACAGTCTTTTAAAGAGGGAGTGGTGGAGATATGGCTGACTAGCGAAGACACAGGTACATATGTACTTGAAATCTATTATTTCAGCTCACATAGTTCTTCAGAAAAAGAAAGACGGAGTAGGGCCTACATTCTTTTATAGGTTGCGCAACGAGAGTTGAGCCCATTAACATGAGTAAAGGTTTGTGTTTGTATTCGCTGTCTGCGCTGACATCTTGCGTAGTTGGACTGACAAGATTTTTCTGTCTTGCTTGCAGACATTTAACTAACACCCATATTCACAAACGATGCTTGCTTAAGTGAAGCAGCAAATCGAACACACAGCGTTGAATGTAGCTCGTGTGACCCTGTGCGTCCACGCGCACTGTGAGACCTCATAGTAATGTTTATGAATACGGGCGAAAGTGTATTCGATATTGTAACCCTTGCAGGATGTACAAATTAATATAAAAGAAAGATCACCGTTCATTTAGCAATTGACTGGAATCAATTTCCACACATAAAGAAGTTCCATTAACAGTTTAGATAATAACCATAACCAATGTTACATACAATAATGTTTAATTATGTTAAAAATTTCATTAGGCTAAAAATATTTTAACTTAATTGAATTTGACCTCTATTCCCAGGCACATACGGTCGCGACATCGGCACATCACTCCCCGAGTTGCTGTGGAAGCTAGTAGAAGTGATTCCTGAAGGCTGCCGGCTGCGACTTGGCATGACTAACCCGCCCTACATCCTTGAGCACTTGGCAGAAGTGGCCAAGATTATGCACCACCCGCGAGTGTACAAGTGAGTGCATTGTGAATCTTATCCTCACGGCCATAAGGTCGTTAGTGTGGTAGCAGCTAACCAATTAGCGACTTGGCATGACTAACCCGCCCTATATCCTTGAGCACTTGGCAGAAGTGGCCAAGATTATGCACCACCCTCGGGTTTATAAGTGAGTGCATTATGAACCTTATCTTCACGGCCATAAGGACTTTAGTGCGATAACAACACCCTCGCGCTTTTAGCCGAGATCGCTAAGATTATGTACCACCCGAGAGGATACAAGTGAGCCAGTATATTGTGAACCTTAACATTAAGGACGTAAGACCGCTAGTGCGATAACAACATCCTTGAGCATTTGGCTGAAATAGCGGGTCTATAAGCGAGTGTGCATTGTGTACCTTATCCCAACTCCCTCCCTACGGTCGCTATACCTTAGTTCTTTAGAAATTTCCCTAAATGTAAACAAATATGGCCAACTGACGAATTTTTAGTCTATGTCAGTTGGTCTACAACTAGTGATGCGACAATGCCACAGACGATTATTAGATTTTCAAAGATCGTTTGTATAATTATTAAGATCAATCCCTCTTCTGATTGATGTTGAGATCAGTAATGTGATCGTCAAAATGTGATCTTCTTAATCAAAGAAAATTTAATTTTCCCTTTTTTATTTGTTTAGGAAATATAATTTAAATTATACTGTGGGTCTAGACAAAGTGCACAATAAAATCGTAAACCAGTCGAAAAGTGGTCGAAAGGCCTTTTTTATGTGACTCGTCTGTATAATAAAGCTGAATTCAAAGAGTTCTTCGCAAAGTGGGTTGTTGCATTCAATGAAGAAAAAATACATTGTTGAATATAACCTCGTTTATATTTTATTTTAAATTAATATTATCAAAGTAATTGGTAATTGAAATAATTGAATACTTGAAATAAAATCGATTAAATTTACAGATTATTATTTATGAATATTGTCTATGACTTACAGATTTTCCAGAGATAGGACCTAAATTTAAACGTCAAATGTCGATTTGACATTTTAACATGTAGCACAAATTTTCACCATCCAAATATTTTGTTAAAATATTTTGTTTTCAATGTTAGATTTCATATTTGTTTCATCATGAGAATAAAGTTGGTTTCATGAGCTTGTGAAATAATGTGTATGACATTATGAAAACGTGAGTACTTATAGTGTAATTGTGTGCACAAGTGTTTGTTTACATCGATGGAAATTTCTAAAGAATTTAGGATTAGTTAGTTGCTAGCTTTGACAATGGCCTGGTTTGATTAACCTGTGCTACATCCTGGAGCTCTTAATTCTTAAGTAAGTCTGTTGAACCTTATTATCAAGTTCATAAAGTCGCCTTGAGTGCGTTTGTTGAGTTTTGGAATGAAGTCGGTTAAAAAGCAACTTTAATTCACAAAAAAACTTCTTATTTTCAGATTCCTACACGTCCCAGTGCAGTCCGGCAGTGATCAGGTGCTAGCAGACATGAAGAGAGAATATTCTAGAGCCGACTTTGAGCATGTTGTCGAATTTCTAAGAACACAGTGAGTTGAATCTGTATTATCACCCTTATATACTCAACATCAAATAAACCGCACCTTCCGCGACGCAAACTTTAACGATTTTCTTCTGACACAATCATGGTGCCCCAACAATATTGGTGTTATTTGAAAGCCCAATAAATATCTTTAAAGAAAAACACATTTAATTTCTTAATAAATGATTAACATATACCATAAATGCGACTTGAAAAAATACCTCACTTTGGGCCCACCTGTGGGATCAATTAGACCAATTTTTATGGTTATAAAACCAAATAATGATCTCACGTGTCCTCTTTAACAGATGGATAGCGATTAATCCCAACTTAACAGTTTTATAGCCATAAAAGTTGGCTCAAGCGTAACTACCTATTTTTTTAAGAAGTGACTCTGGATCCTTCTAAAGACACATTTTTGGGGTAAAAACCTTTCCTTTAATGAAATGAAGGTTAGAACTAGGCTTTTAAATGGTGCCAATATTGGTGGGAAGTGGGGATGCATACGTTTGAAAATGCTCGTCGCGGGAGGTGCGATTTATTTGATGTCAAGTGTAGTAAATAATCACGGGTCCCGTGCACCAAAAAACGAAGCTAATGTAAACCCTATGTGACTAGCAAAAAAGCTCAGTTTCCCACAGCGTACCTGGCATGACGAACATCATCTTCCTCATGAAGACAGATCGCAACTTTGACGACTCGTTGCTTTTGATAAATATGCAATAAAAACCAGTTTCCCTAAGCAGTCCTAGCATGCTAAATCGCCAATTTAAATCTTATGTTGCCAGCAATAAAGCTCAGTTTCCCACAGCGTGCCCGGCATGACGATAGCGACATCATCTGTGGCTTCCCGACAGAGACGGAGCGCGACTATGACGTCACATTGCTTTTGATAAATAAAGTCTTCCTAGCACAAGTCTACAGGGTGGAAACGATAAGTGATCTCACTCGATTATTTCTAAACTACACAAGATATCAAAAAACTGGTTACTGATCCTGAAAGAGCTTCACGAGCTCTTTCTAACGCACAGTGTTTTTTTTGACCCGAAAAAGTGACATTCTGTTTTTATCACTAATATCCAAAGTTTAACTTATTATTAATGTTAGACTAAAACACCCAGGTGACAAATAGCTATAGATTATTTAAAAAAAAATATTTTAGAAAATTTATTTTGTACTGGGTCAAACTACAATTTTATTATTATTTAAAGAAACGTACACACTAAGCTTCTCTTTGCATTGCAGGTAGGTAGGTTGGTGTATGGCGAATATTATTGCACCTATAATTATTTAAAAGTAGTTATAGGAACGACAGTATGATTATTTTTTGATTTTAAAAATTATTATTTTTCTCTTTTTCTACGCCGAAGTAGAATCTCTGCTTAGGTCAGATAAATTTCTTAAAATAAGCTGTATCACCCGAAATTTTTCTATATTCTAACTCGGCCGCAATTTCGAGAAAAAATATTTTTTCCAAAATGTTAGGATTGTCACAAAAAATGACCTTACGTAGTTCCACTTTCTTTAGGGTTCCGTGGCCAAAGGATGCTTACGGGACATAATTAATATTATGCAAATATAAATACCACTCCTGATGATCAAGAGTCTTCATATATCTTAAAAGATGATGAAGAAACAGTATTCTTGAGCACTGATAGTAATTTAACTGATAACCTACCTAAGACAAATTAAACACATAATTAGGACCGATTAGCATCCTTTGGCCACGGAACCCTAAAGAAAGTGGAACTACGTAAGGTCATTTTTTGTGACAATCCTAACATTTTGGAAAAAATACTTTTTCTCGAAATTGCGGCCGAGTTAGAATATAGAAAAATTATAGGTGATAGAGCTTATTTTAATAAATGTATCTGACCTAAGCAGAGATTCTACTTCGGCGTAGAAAAAGAGAAAAAAAATAATTTCTTAAATTTAAAAAATAATCATACTGTCGTTCCTATAACTACTTTTAAATAATTATAGGTGCAATAATATTCGCCATACACCAACCTACCTACCTGCAATGCAAAGAGAAGCTTAGTGTGTACGTTTCTTTAAATAATAATAAAATTGTAGTTTGACCCAGTACAAAATAAATTTTCTAAAATATTTTTTTAAAAATAATCTATAGCTATTTGTCACCTGGGTGTTTTAGTCTAACATTAATAATAAGTTAAACTTTGGATATTAGTGATAAAAACAGAATGTCACTTTTTAGGGTAAAAAAAAACACTGTGTAACGGTATCAGTAATAGGTTACAGAATTAACTGGATCTATCCGAAAATTCAATGTTTTCAGCCTCCATTTATGTTATGTAAATGTATGCCAGCCACACAATATGAAAAGTGTATTTTTTTAAATTAAATAATACACACTTAAATGAACTCGTAAATTGCATTCTTATTTAAAATTATTCATGGAAAACATTGGTTTTAGGCTTTACTTGCTATAATATTATCAAGACATGAGGGCCATGATTGTGGCAGTACTAAATGTATGGAAGTTGGAAACATTGAATTTTCGGATAGATCCAGTTTATTTTGTAACTAATTGTTGCTACCGTTGGATAGAGCACGCGAAGCACTTTCAGGATCAGTAACCAGTTTTTGGATAGCTAGTATAGTTTTTAATATTAAGTGGTTTAGCTAAATGTATGGAAGCTGGAAACATTGAATTTTCGGATAGATCCAGTTTATTTTGTAACTAATTGTTGCTACCGTTGGATAGAGCACGCGAAGCACTTTCAGGATCAGTAACCAGTTTTGGATAGCTAGTATAGTTTTTAATATTAAGTGGTTTAGCTAAATGCATGGAAGCTGGAAACATTGAATTTTCGGATAGATCCAGTTTATTTTGTAACCTATTATTGGTAACGTTGGATAGAGCTCGTGAAACACTTTTAGGATCAGTAACCAGTTTTTCGATATCTTGCATAGTTTAGAAATAATCGAGTGAGATCACTTATCGTTTCCACCCTGTATATTCCTTTAGCATCCCAGAATCTTGTTAGCCCAATATAAACGCTATGTCACTAGCAATAAAGCTCAGTTTCCCACAGCGTGCCCGGCATGACGATCGCAACGGACATCATCTGTGGCTTCCCCACGGAGACGGGGCACCATTTTGAAGACACACGGCTGATATATTGTCTCCCTAGCAATAAACATTCTGGGACTGGGTAGTCAATGCGAAAAAAACGCTCAACGGTTGGAATGTGCAGGTGTCAAAATGTCCATATGGACCGGCTGTTAGTGTGGCAAAAAGTATGAACGTCGAAATGAGCAATGGTTAAAATGATCAGAAGTTAAAATGTCTTCGGGTTTATTCGAACAAGCGTCTTATTGTGTAATAGCTAACGTGAACACGTGTTTAAATGCATCAAGGTAAAAATGTCCAAAAAAACTCTTTATTGACTGGACTACAAGAACATTGAACATTTTGACATTCAATTTTATTAATTTAATCATGAGCACAATATATCAGTTGATCGTTTTATCTATCACACCTTTTGTTGTACTTGTATTTTGTGATGTGTACCATTTGTCACTAAAGCACTGTAACCATGGTAATGATGTACATTTTGACACTGGGACTTTTTGACGTTCATACTTTTTGTTACACTAACAGCCGGTCCGTATGGACATTTTGACACCTGCACATTCCAACCGTTGAGCGTTTTTTCGCATTGACTACCACCCACTCTCAGAATGGCAATAAAGAAAAATTTCTCTTAGCAGTCCTAGCATGCCAAATCGCCAATTTAAATCTTATGTCACTAGCAATAAAGCTCAGTTTCCCACAGCGTGCCCGGTATGACGATCGCGACAGACATCATCTGTGGCTTCCCGACGGAGACGGAGCGCGACTTTGAAGACACTCTCCGGTTGTGCGACAAGTACCGGTTCCCTTCGCTGTTTATTAACCAGTTCTTCCCGAGGCCCGGGACTCCGGCCGCTAAGATGACCCGGGTAAGGAAACTCAAGATTATTGTAACCCTAAACCAGGGATGGCGAAACTTTAAGCATCAACGTGACACTTTTCTTTAAAAAAAATGTTTGATGTAGTCATAGACATGCCATCAAATGACACCTAATGCTATCAATATTCAATAATCAATCGTATAAGTGGCGCCATTGGCGAGTGATAAGACCTTACAGTGGCACTAACTGATGAGGACAAATAAATACGATAGCTCTCATTTTATTTATTTATTTTATTTTTATTTATTATTAATTATTGAGCAATTACATATTAATCATTCGAAACGCATTACATATTTACTATTTTATTTTAGTGACATTAATGGCTATATGGCCAGCCACCAATCACAAAATTCAGTATAAAATACGTGTGCCATTGGCTCGCCATCCCTGCCCCATCTCAATTAACTACAAGAGTGATCGCAGATCGATTTTTCTCAGTAGAAAATTATCATTGAAGTCAAACTTTTCGTTTATGTGGCGATCTTTCCCAAACAGGTGCCAGGCCAAGAAGTAAAGAAACGCACCAAGCAGCTCTCCGAACTGTTCCGCTCCTACGAACCGTACGGCCACAAAGTGGGCGAGACACAAGAGGTCCTTGTAACAGACGTGTCGCATGACAAAAACTACTTCGTGGCCCACAACGAGTTCTACGAACAAGTCCTCGTGCCAAAAGAAGACAAATACATGGGAAAAATGGTCACAGTCAAAATAACGGACGCAACGAAATTCTCCATGATGGGTCAGCCCATAGACAAACCTAAGATGGCGGGCTTGACAGCGCCGCTCAAGAAGGGGGAAGTGTCAGGCGTCTGTCAAAAGAGCGAAACCAATACGTCGATACCGATACCGATTGTGGTTTTGATGTTTGCAGTGTTTTTAAGATTGATCTGGATGTTTTTATAGTTGTACAGAAATATAGTTTATATTTTAAGATAATGTTGGTTTTTCATTCATATCCATATTTTCGTACACGAAATAAAAAATACAAATAAGAAAATAATTGCACTTAACGCTTATTTGTAAACTTGACAGTGGTATTATCGTATTTGTAGATTTGACTTGGGAATTTTGATAACTGATTTAAAAGCTTTGTATTTGTATAGAGTATTAAAAAAATAGCACCACAAATTTTCGGTAACTGCTGTACTACGGTTTTGTAACGTATGTAATTTCTTTAATATATTGTATTACTCTTCGTATCAAAACAAAAGACCAAATTAAAAGAAAAGGATTCTTTATAAGACCTCGACTAACCTACTTTATGTATCACGCATCCAGTTTGCAACAAAGGACGGCACGGTCCGGCGCGCCCTTTCATAACTCGTTATATAACGTTACGCTGCGCTGTCTGTTTGTCAGTCTTTGTAAGCTGGTGAATAAGGGTCATTGTCAGTGATATTATAAAAAATAAATAATTATTTTTCAAATGCAATTAATTGGAGAGTGAAAGTTATTACGAAAGCGTCGCACTCTATTTTCTTCGGCATTTAGTTGTGGTTAAATAATCCAGCAAGTTTATTGAATATCAGAAGATTTTTATTCAACAAAACTTTTAACTTCCCAGTTCCCAGTTAAATAATTAAACTTCTTGTCATGTTTTTAACATGCTCTAGCTACTGACTGAACCATACATAATACAGAGTATTTGTGGCGTTCATATCCGACTAAAGTTGCCCTGAAGGTATAAGATCAGGTCTCTAAGATGTCAGGCTATAATCAGCCTGGAGCCAAGAGGCAAAAGGTGCGAGAGGCAAGACCGGGAGACAATATTGACTACTTTCAAGGTGAGTTTTTACCTACCCACTTGCGACGACAGCACGGTAATTACCGTGACGACAGTGTGACATCTCGAACTATACTATCGTTAGAGATGTCACACTGTCGTCGCAAGTGGACGGTCCTTTGTATTCTTTTTAGTGACGTTTGCTTATTATCTGCTAAAGTAATATTATATTTTGTCTATTTATAAAATTATGACTCGTTAAGCTGCTTTTAATAAAACGTAGTCGCACATACTCGCAATTTCTAGCATTGTTACATTTTAACGTGCTCTTGTTCAGGCATAGACAAGGTAGAGTACAACAACCTAGCGCCGCCGACGGACGGTAGCGGGTACCGGTACTACTGCAGCGAGCGCGTGCACTCCCGCGCTTTGGACGACTGGCTCAAGCTCAGCGTTTGTCTTTCGGATTTTAGGAACGGTGCGTGCCTGCATTTTGTTTCTTAGTAAAAATTAAATAAGCATCTTTTACTACATACTAATGGAATATATTTATTGGTGAGTTTCTAATTAATTTTTATAACGAAATGAAACGAACCTTGAATATTCTGAAGAGGGTAACCTTTTTGAACCATACTTCAGAGTCCATTTCAAAATTTTTCGGGAGTAGTTAGGTAGGTAGTTATTTTGTTTTATGTAATACAAATTTTGCTAATAAACATCTTTTTTCCTTAATTTAAACTTATACGAGTAAATGTTTTAACTTTAAAAATCAAGCCATGGAATCACCTTCAAGTTTTCGATCTACCCTCACAAATTTAAAAAACTGAATAACCTTACCGACCGTTTCCATAACATTTCCCCACTTTAAGTTTCACTTACCTCATCTTCCAGGGTCAGACAGCCACAAGTCCCCCCACCGGCCGTGGGACGACGGTTCCCACACCATAGACAACCACAAGCGTTGCATCAAGGCTCTCTTCGACTTTTGCACCAAACTGGGCATCAAATACTGGACTGCTTTCGACTCGGACCTGGTGCCGTATTGCGATAGTTGGGAAGAAAACAAGCAGCATTGGGACGAAGTGGTGGAGTTTGTGCAGGAGTTGGGACAGAGGAGCCATGTTAAGCTGCTGTGGTTGGCGCCGGATTTGCATTCGCATCCGCGGTAAGATTTTTAAATATTCCAGTATAGCTGTGTCTCTAAGATTCCCTTAGGCCCGGTTTCCACCAAAGCGCAGCAGAGAAGTGTGTTAAATAACCAATCAGATTTCATTATTTCCACTTCTCCGCTTCGCTCCGCCTTGGTGAAAACCGGCCTTAATTCGGCTTTTTTCGGATCTACCGCCAACCGAATCGTTATTATTTTTATATAATCCCACGACTAAGTTGAAGAGTTGGGTTAAACTGAGATGATTAATACGGCAAGCAAAAAGAAGAATTAAATGTTAGTGTAATCAGGCCTGGCTCACTCCGCGCGGTACATCCGATAATTACCTACAGCGAAGCGCCCCGCCGGCGGGTATTATATCAGTCGAGTGTCACGCGCGCGCCCGTCAGGACGCTGGCGTGCGTTGTAGTACCTAATTCTATGATCGAAGTATTATTTAAAAATGGACATAAAGAGAAAAAAATAATATTGTGCGGCGTTCGGGTGTTTAAATTCGAAAAGAAATCTACCGGATTTATCTTTTTTTTCGCTTCCCAAAGATGCTGAAAGGTATGTTGGCCATGTAGGTAATCAATAATTCTTAGGATAGTATAGGAACCTAACCTACCTGACTACTGCTCAGGATGCGTTCGTTCGTTTCAGCCAAATGACGTCCACTGCTGGACAAAGGCCTCTCCCAAGGTTTTCCATAATGAATGCGTACTTACATACATACGTGTCATGAGGTACGTACCTCATGACATATAAGTAGATTAATTATTTTTTTCACTAGACAGCAACCCTAACAGCGTAAGAAGAGTTCAGAGGCACGCGATAGAAAGAGACAAAACTTGTAGGTGAATAAAATTGTAGGTACGTAGTGCTGTGCGAGCTGAATTCCACTGTATCGCGTCGCAGCAAGACTCGCATTTACTTAAATCGTCTTGCGGAGTAATCCTTCTGTACCTGTACTATTACTTATTCTGTGGTGTAATAGCTCTGTAAGAAACTGTGCGATTGATTTGGTGCGATTCTGACACTTTGTGGATGGGAAGGCACGAGAATTTTTAATGAACTATTAAATCAAATGCTCATTTTAAGGCCACTAATGATTTAGGGGACACTTTAACTGCAATGTTCCCTTTCATTACTTACCTACGCCTGTGTTATTCACAGATATGCCTCCGGTGCCTTCACGAGTAACGAATCCACGACATACGCCCAGGCCGCGACGCAAATCAAGAAATGCCTCGAAATGAGCCAGCGCCTCAACGCTGAGTGTTTTCTGATCTGGCCACACAGAGAAGGCTACGACAATATTTTCCAGACTGACGTCACCAGAGAAATCAAATTATTCGCGAAACTATTGAAAATCACTGCCGAATACAAAGACAGGCTGAATTACAGATGCCAGATCCTAATGATGCCGTATTACAACTGTAATTCGAGATATTACAACTGTAATTTTGGCAGCTGGCAACACCAGAGTTGGAGGGAGGATGTTGTGAACAGATACATGTGGGATGTGACGAGTTGCTTGTACTTTTTGAAGAGCTACAATTTGGAGAGATATTACAAAGTGTGCTCGCCGCCTGGACATCACATGTTTATGGCCAATGTGTAAGTTATTTTTAGTTTATTTTTATGGCTATGCTTCTTGCCAGTGTCGAGTTATTCAATTTAATGGTGCAAGGCAGCAAGTTATTAGGTATATTAGGGTGTTTCATCTTAGACTGTAATTTTCTAAGACTATTTGATTATTAGAGATTAGCCTATGTTACTCGTGAGTAATGTATCTTTCGAATGGTGAAATAATTTTAAAAAACGGTCCCGTAGTTTTGAGTTTTCCTCTTTATAATATTAGTGTAGATGAGCTGTTTTGAAATATTCTACATAGTTATGGGTATTATATTTTGATTAAAGGTATAACATGTTGGGCGGCGTGGTCATCACCAATGACGTGGACCACTACAACACGAAGCAATTCACGCTCATGATGAAATGCATCATTGATCAGGTACTAAAAATTGCCTTAAAAAATTGTGCAAATGTTTTTATATTACACACTTTATGGTGAAATCGTTTGCTTTCTAAAACATTAGAGGAGATAATATGAATGTTGATTAATAAAAGAAATTATTCACCTCAATCTATTCTGTCTGCGGCGTCTCCTCTAGTCTTACGCTCGTATTCACAAACGATGCTTGCTGAAGTGAAGCACAAAATCGAACGCACAGTGTTGAATAGAGCTCTGTCATGCTGTGCCTCCACGCGCACTGCGAGACCTCATAGTAATGTTTGTGAATACGGGCGTTAATCCATGGTGATGGATCCCCGACGAATTTCCAACAATGGGTTCTGAACTTTCACCTTTCTTATTAGGTTAAAAACCAATTGAAGACAGTCATTAGTAAAGTTTTATCTGCATATTATCATTTCACTTGTTGTAACAGTTGTTTATTATCAGGGTAACCCCCTCATAGGGGGTATCAACCTCAAGCTGTCACCACGCAGAGACAGCGACTTGCGAGAGCTGGTGACGCACTACGTGAAGTATGTGGACGCGCTCGCTAAAGGTCTCAGATTCGCAGCCGGAATGGTAGCGGAACAGATGTTCGCTAAGCATTTGCAGGTTGGTTTTGAATTATTCCACTATTCCCCGTTGATAATCCCCGTCACTACGTCACGTTCCCCGTAACTAAAAAAATAATTAATCCCCAAATAAAATCCTAATATAACGGAGATTAATCCTTCAAGCTCCGCGAATCTAGACACAATAGATAATCAATTGTTATGACATTAATTAATGCCGTCTGGAACTCAATCGGTTAATGAACTTTTTAGTTCATTATTCCCCATTATAAGCTCCAATTGGCGTTAACGGGGATTAATAGTGAACAAAAAGTTCTCTAATCCCCGTTGACAATCCCCGTCAATTAGTGGAATAAGCCTTAGTTTTGGAGTTCTGTTCTTTTGCCGAATAAATAATTGTGAAACCGTTCACCAACAATCGATTGATCAATGATCTACTCACCTACAGGATCTTCGACCCATTAACTTTTTACC